ACGATTGGGCGCTGGCCCTGGCAGGGCAGCCTGCGCCTCTGGGGTTACCACTCCTGCGGGGCGAGCCTGCTCAACCGGCGCTGGGTGCTCTCGGCCGCGCACTGCTTTGAAAGGTGAGCCCGGGGGTTGTGGTTCGGAGAACCGGACCCCGATCCCGTGCCTGCACCACCCTCTTCCTATACGATGTGACCCTCGTGTTCTTCTGAACCCCAGGCCCCACTGCAGGTGGCCCTGCTGGGGACGCTTCAGTTTTTCCCAGAAGGGTCTTCCAGAACATTCCCCTGCACATTCCTGTCTTGTTTTGTTCTCTTTACTTTTTTTAAAAAAATATTTTATTGATTTTTTACAGAGAGGAAGGGAGAGAGGTAGAGAGCTAGAAACATCGATGGGAGAGAAACATCGATCAGCTGCCTCCCGCACACCCCCGACTGGGGATATGCCCGCAACCAAGGTACATGCCTTTGGCCGGAATCGAACCCGAGACCCTTTAGTCCACAGGCCGACGCTCTATCCACTGAGCCAAACCGGTCAGGGCCTGTTCTCTTTCTTGTTCTCTTCTCTCCAAATGGCATTGCTAGCCTTCACCTTCCTCCTCCCACCTCCCAGTGGAGCTGCGCCACAGCGGGGATGAATGGGCGAGGGGGTGAGTGCTGGGCACAGAACCTGCCTGGGGCAGCAGGGGCCCTGGAGGCTGTTTTGTTTTGTTGTAATCCTCACCTGAGGACATTTCCCATTGACTTTTAGGGGGAGAGAGAAAAAGACAGAGAGAAACATTGATGTGAGAGAAACACATTGATAGGTTACCTCCTGCACGAGCCCCAACCAGGGCCCAGCCGGGGAGAAGCCTGCAACCAAGGTACGTGCCCTTGACCGGAATCGAACCCGGGACCAACGCTCTATCCACTGAGCCAAACCGGCTAGAGCCCTGGAGGCCGTTCTGACTGCACTCTGCTGAGTGTCCCGCTTGGGCATCAGTGCGTCTGCTCGCTCTTGTTCGAGGCTGTGAGAGGTGACAGGCTGGTTGAGGGACTGGCCAGATCACTCCTGCCCCATCACCACCCCCAAGTTCCCAGTTACTGGGATTTGGGTTGCAACCTCTCTGGACAACCTCTCACCACTCGTTTTTATTTTAATGTTTCTATTGATTTCAGAGAGAGGAAGGGAGAGGGATAGAAACATCACTTATTAGAGTGCATCATTGATCGGCTGCCTCCTGTACACCCTCCCACTGGGGATCGAGCCTGCAACCCAGGCATGTGCCCTGACCGGGAATCGAACCGTGACTCCTGGTTCATAGGTCTATGCTCAAACACGGAGCCACAGCGGCTGAGCTCACCGCTCTTGGGAGCAGGCCCCAGGTGTGCTCAGGTGGCTGACCCTTTGGTAAGGCCTCCTGACTGCTCTCTCCTCTCTGCCAGGAACACCAGCCCCGGCATGTGGACAGTCCAGTTTGGTGAGCTATCTGCCGCGCCATCGATCTGGAACCTGCAGGCCTACCGCAACCGTTACCAGGTGGAGGAGATTGTTATGAGCCCCAAGTATCTGGGGGCGTCAGCCTTTGACATTGCCATGCTGAGGCTGGCCTCGCCTGTCACCTACACTAAGTACATCCAGCCCATCTGTGTCCTCGCCTCTTCTGATGAGTTCCAGAACCGGAGTGACTGCTGGGTGACCGGCTGGGGGGACATCCAAGAAAATGAGGGTGAGGTGGGGGACAGGTGGGGGGTTTAGGGCAGGGGAGCAGGGGCATGATCCTCCACCCCCTGTTCTAGCTGCACCAGCTGGGCCCCTCTGTGGGCCTGGTCAGCATTCTCTCCTCACCCGCGGTGCACTCCTGCTCCCCCTGAAAGGGCAGGACTTGCTGTGCCCACACTCAGGTCTCTCTTCCCCCCAGAGACTGAGCCAGAAGCTAGTGGTGAGAGGGAGGCCAGCTTGGCCCAGGCTATCCTCCCGGCGTGCAGGGAGGGGTGTTGGTGGGAGGGCCTGACAAAAAGGCCCCACCCTGGTGCTCACCCTCCCCCAGCCATCCAACTTCCCCACTCTGTCTCCTCCATGCCTTCTTTATCTCCTGGAATGCTGGGCCCATTTCTCTATCCTCCAGCCTTGGCTCTGCAGGAGGTCTTTGAGTCAGTAATCAGCCACCATCTGCTTATCTCTCACCATGAATCCCCTGTAACGGCTGGGCACAACCTCCCCCAAGGTGCCCTGGGGTAGGGGAGGCATAGGCCCTCCACCTGGACTGCCCCTTACACTGCTCCCGGGCCTGGCCCATTCCTGCCTCACCCTTAACAATCCTATCTAATAATAGACAAACATGGTAATTGACCATACCTTCACTAGGCCTCCCATTGGCTAATCAGCACGATATGCAAATTAACTGCCAACAAATATGGTGGCTAATTTGCATGCTGCAGGCAGATCCTGCTGTGCCGCCCCACCTGGGGCTGGCGGCAGTGCGATCCCTAGCAGCTGTCCGCCCCAGCACAAGATCCAGGCCTGCCCTGTGCAGGGTGGGGCAGGCGGTAGCACGCAATCTGAACGGCCGCCCGACCCAGCGCGGGATCGGGCCTGCCATCTGCGACAGGGAGATGGGGCGGACACCACAGGATTGAGCATGCCATCTGCCACCAGGGGAGCGGGCCTAAGTCAGTAGGTGGTTATCTCCCGAGGGGTCCCAGACTGTGAGAGGGCACAGGTTGGGTGAGGCACCCCCCTCCCCCCCCAGGCAGTGCACAAATTTTTGTGCACCGGGCTTCTAGTAGTAATAATAACAGCAGAAGCTCCTGCCTGCACACTGTGCCGGGCACTGTTCTAGGCTCTAGGGACTCAGGAGTGGGCAGGGTACCATCTATCTTCCCTCAGACGCTTACCTGCAAATGAGGCTGGGAACATTTATACCCACTTCACAGATGAGCAAGCTGACAAGGGAATGGAAATTGCCCAAGACCCCAGAAGGGGTCATTGGAGCAGCCAGGGCTGTCTGTGTGGTCACACATCGGGAATTGGCAGAGGGGATAGAGAAGTCAACACTAGGCTTGCCTCCCTCTAGAGTTGGGGTCCTTTCCTTTCCTGTAGAAGGGGCTGGATAAAGTGCCCCTGCCGTCCACCTCCCTGGCTCCAAAGGGCTGCAGGGAGGCCCAGCCAGGCAGACTGCCCCCTCCCTCCCTCCCTGGCCCAAGGCCGACAGGTAATCACATCCAGCCCTAGGCGCCACCTCATTGTCACAGGTGGCGGGTGACTCGTGGGGCCCTGCCTGATGTGAACCTTAGCTCTGCCACGCGCTCGCTGGAAGATCTTCTGTAAGCACTTCACCTAACTGTGCCTCAACTTCCTCACCTGTACAATGGGTAACAATAGTTCCCACCTCATAGGGTGGCTCAGAGGTTTAAAAGCATTCATACAGAGGGTAGCAGAGTGCCCGGCAGATGGGAGGCTCTGCTGACACATCAGCTTTTGGTGTTATTGTGGTCACGATCCCCTGCAGGAAAAGGTAATTCCAGCCCAGACTTAGGAATTGGATAGACCTGGCTTCATGTCAGGCTTTGCCATTTCTGGGTGCATCTTTCCTGAAAGTGGGTCATGCCTGTGCTGCAGCCTGGGGGGGCTGTGGGAGCTCTTGGCTCAGGCCCTGACATGTGTTAATCCTAAAACATCTCAGCTGCGTTACCCGCCTCCCCCGTGGATGCTAAGGTCGCTCTTCACTGCTGTCACCTGCATGTTGCACGTAGGGAACCCGGGAGCAGCTGTAACAGCTTGTCCAGTTATTGGGTCCTTCTGTGATATTGCTCATCACCCATGAGGTGCTGGATGCTAGGCCTGAGTAGAGGACTCGTCAAGGCACCATGGATGCCCCAGGGACCCTGCCCTGCCCGGTAACCTACACCATCCCTCCCAACCAGGTGGCAGAGGGGAGTCTCAGGATGCTCTCTCTTTCTGTCTTTCAACTCCTCTGTAGACCTGCCGGCTCCCTACAGCCTCCAGGAAGTGGAGGTCGGCATCATAAACACCACCATGTGCGACTACATGTACACACAGCCTTCTTACCGCTACAACATCTGGGGAGACATGATTTGCGCTGGCCATGCTCAAGGCGGCAGGGACGCCTGCTTCGTGAGTGTCCCTCCCCGCCCCAACCAGAGCCTTCTGGGTCCTATAGTCTCTCACCAACCCAGCCCCAGGCCCGAGAGGCACCTGTATCATTTGGTCCTCACGGCAACCTGAGGAGTTGAGACTATGGCCCCCTTTTGCAGATGCAGAAACTTGGGCGCTTCCTGGGGGAGGAGTAGGATTCGTACCCAGTTTTCCCAGCACTACAGCCCCTCCTGCTCTCCCTACCTCTCTGCCAACCCCTCCTGCCCCGCCCCAGGCTCTGCTCACGAATTCTGCTCCCCAGGGTGACTCAGGCGGACCCTTGGCCTGTGAAAAGAAAGGACTGTGGTATCAGGTTGGAGTCGTGAGCTGGGGAGTGGGCTGTGGTCGGCCCAACCGACCCGGTGTCTACACCAACGTCAGTACTCACTTCAAATGGATGCAGATGCTGATAGCCAGTAGCCGCATTCACAAGCCATCCCCCTGGCTGCTGCTGCTCCTCCTCCTCCTTCTCCGGACTGCCCCGTTCCTGCAGCCAGCCTGAGCCCCACGGAGCCCTGAGAGGCAGGGCCATCTGCTGCCTCAGGCCCAGGCTCCCGTCCTGTTTCTAATAAAAACATTTGCACGTTCTAGTGGCTGCCAAACATTCTGTGGACTCCAGGTGGCTTCCTGGACACCCTCATGGTCACTCGTGCTCTGCCCACCCCAAGATCACTCCCTAACTCTTAAATCTCTCTCCACCCACCTGTGCTGTTACAGGTTTGGGTTGCAAACAGCAGAACCCGCTCAGGTTAGTTCAATCAGAAAGATAATTTATGGGAGGACATTAGTAGCACCAGGGTACCTGGGTGCCAGGAAGACTGGAATGGGGTATTGTGGAGGAAACACCCCCAAACACCCCAGTGCTCATGCCGGTGGCCCCATCACACAGCTGTCAGGTGCTCCTGGTCTTAATGCGGCCCCCAAATGCTGACTTGTGATCCGGGCTGGGGTACAGGTAATTTATTTGGGAGGTGATACCAAAAAGCTCAAGTGCAGCGGTTCTCAACCTGTGGGTCGCGATCCCTTTGGGGGTCGAACGACCCTTTCACAGGGGTCGCCTAAGACCATCGGAAAATACATATATAATTACATATTGTTTTTGTGATTAATCACTATGCTTTAATTATGTTCAATTTGTAACAGTGAAATTGGGGGTCACCACAACATGAGGGACTGTATTAAAGGGTCGCGGCATGAGGAAGGTTGAGAACCACTGCTATAGTGGGAAGTGGGGGAACCAAGGCAGAGAGAGAGAGGAACCCAATGACATTTGCCCGAAAGAAGAAGTCGCTGTGTGAGCAGCTGAGGCACAGTCCCGCTGGAGCCCTCTGAGAAGCCACAGGGAATGTGCCCCGGCTTGGGCCCCTTGGAGACAAGGATGCTGGGTGTGGGCATTCTCTCCTGGCCGCCATGGGGTTCTGCTGATGTGATTAAATGAAGGGCGTGAGATGGGAGATTTTCCTGGATTATCCGGGTGAGCCCCGTGTAAAAGTGTCCTTGAAACCGGAAGGAGTCAGAAGGGGAAGGCCGAACAATGTGACAGGAAAAGGACATAACCCGCTATTGCTGGCTTTGAAGACGGAGAAGGGGCACAAGCCAAGGAATGAGGGCAGCCCCAGGAGCTGGAAAAGGAGAGGTAACGGTTTCTCCAGATAGGAATGCAGCCCTGCTGATGCCGTGGGGGTTTTTTTGCGGGGGGGGAAAGAGGGTAAATAAATTTTTTTAAAAAAAATACATTTTATTGATTTCAGAGAGGAAGGAAGAGGGAGAGAGAGAGAAACGTCCATTCACAATGAGTGAGAATCATGGTGGATCGGCTGCCTCCTGCAAGTCCCCCACTGGGGATCGAGCCCACAACCCAGGCATGTGCCCTTGACCGGAATCGAACCTGGGACCCTTCAGTCCGCAGGCCGACACTCTACCCACTGAGCCAAACCAGCCAGGCTGATGCCATGGTTTCAGTCAGTGAGATGCTTGTCAGAATTCTAGCCTACAAACTCCAAGGCAATAAACCTGTGCGGTTTTAGGCCACAAAGGGAGTTACCGCAGCAACAGAAAAGCAACATGTT